AAATGCCTGAGACTCCATTTCGATTAAGTCTTCAGTGGTCTGGGGATATTCTCCCATCAAAGAAGGCCTGTTTCCAGGCGGGATTTCGGGCGGAGGTTCGAGGTGTCGTTGAACCTCGGAAGGCGAAGCCTCTATAGTGGTGTCCTCGTCGCTGCTCTCGTAGGCCATGATGTTGCCTGGGTTCCCGAACATCCAGTCGAAGAAGGATAAAGGGTAGTTTCCCAGCGTCCCGTGTTCCACGGGAGTGAGCTCGTTGTTGCCCTCAACGAACCTGCGAACGTACTCGAGGTAGTACGCGTACAATCCATGACCATACGCCTCGAGCTCGTCGACGTTGTCCATGCCAACAACCCAAGTGAAAAATATCTGCTCCATAGCCTCAGGCTCAGATACTCAATGAATGGTTCACTTGAGCCAAAATGGATTTCGGTCGACCCGCCCTTTCCATTTCCCTTCACTGGACAATCTCGCACAAGATGATCGGTACTACCACATTCATGGCATTTAAGAACCTGGCCGTCTCTACCTCGCGGGTTTCCCCGCCTACCTTTGCCTTTTCCTGAGGTCTCTCCACGGCCTTTACCACGGCCCTTTCCCCCAAAGAATATCTCATCATGTTGTTCATCTGAGAGCCTCTGGAGAAATGCCGCGATGCCTCGCCCGTTCAACCTCCGACGACCTCGCTTACCTTTACCTTTTCCATTAAAACTTCTCCGTATCCTCCTTCTAACACGACGCACTGGTTTTCGTGTGAACCTCCTCCACCTTCGTTTAGCCAGTTGTAGTAACCAGAACAAATGTTCAGCACGCTGATTGTCGTTATCCATATTCATAATATCTGACCAATCTAGAGCTTCAACACCATCTGATGATATAGTGTCTGTATCGGTGCCGGAGTCGAAATCCTCGTCTCCCAAGTAGGTGGATACACCGTCGGTTAGGGGGTTTTATTCCCCCCATAAAGAACGGTGTGGTTGTGGTTCTCTAGAAGGAGGGCTGGTTGCCCAGCTCGGTTGTGATCGATCTCCTGCTAATAAAGCAGTGGATTCTCCAGGATCGTCGGCCCATATACTCGAGGGCCCGTTTCCAGGCTGGGCTTCAGTAGTCAAGGTAGTGTAGAAATTTCCACTACCAGATCCCCTCCCCCTTCCAAACACAGATCCTACGTTGCCAGGAGACCGTTCAGATAGGTGGCCTATCGAACGCATCCTCTCCAGCAACTCATCATACTGTTGTTGTGTTCGGGGCATTTGGTGATTGAGTGGCTGTAAGAGTTGCATGGCTCGCTGGTTGCCGACGCCTAAGGCGCGGAATAGGATAGTGGTTAGCAGTTGGAAGTTGGGAAGGTCGAATCCCACCGACTGTGCCTCAAGTCGGGCCATTTCGAATCGGGTAAGGGTGACATCGATTCGTTCCCCGTGAGGCACGTGGAAGTCGATGAGTTGTGTGCCGGAAGTGAGCTGTCGCTCATCTTCCAGGCGTTCGAACTTCATGCTTAGGAGGAACATGATGTAGGTCACTGGGTCGGTGTGGACCCCATCGATGTCAGCACCATAGTTTATAATGTCAGGTGGTACCCTCATGGCGAGTGTCCTCGCTAGGCCACCTAGGCCGCGTTGTATTGCGGCCGCTTGGGCCTGTGGCGTCATACGTCCGCTTGTAACGTTGAGCCATGCGTTGACCTCGTAAATGTACTCGCGAAAAGGTACATTACCTTGAGGGTCCCGATATGGGCCATGTGTTTGCCAATCGGTGCTGTTTTCTCCACGACGCATGTGTCCGATTGCTGCCCCCAGCGCGAACCATATAATAGCGAAAACGACTAGCCCGAGAATGTGTAGAGAAGGACGGTTATTATGCGCGTTGCCGCGCTGGGGTAGCGCCTTGTCGAGTCTTCGAGGCGCTCTAGCTGGCGGGTCTCCCCGCCTCTGCTTCAAGTATTGCGTTGTTAGCTCGTTGCCGAGCGGTTGGTGGTAACGCAATGATGAAGCGTATATGGTACCAAACTGGTCGTCTAGACGTCGTACCTCTCGTGTTGCTTCTTGCTCTTGGATAGATCCTCGTAAACGTACTGGGAGTGGTGGCGCAGGGTGGTAGGTGGTCACGAAGATCGTGCCGAAGAATATGAGGCTAAGAAGAGCAAGAGCTGACCACACGAGAGTGCGGCCAGCTCCGCTACCAAGTCGAAAGTGAGCCTGGTAACTCAAATAGCATCCGATTCCATGATAGACATCGGATGGCAAATAGCGTCCATCGCTCTGCTGTGATAGTACAGTATGAGGGGTGGACGGATAAGATAGGATAAGATCGATGTAATGATCTTTCCAGCACATAGCGAACACTCGCGGTGTCCGGGCAAATAGGGCGCGCGTGCCTTGGGCCAAAGGCAACGGCGCGCGCGAGCTATGCTCCCGATACTATAACATCTCCCAAAGACCTACCCTTAAAGTCTACGCTTGTTCAAGCAGGGCAACACGCACAGGAGTCGTCAAAGATCCCCAAGATAGCCTCAAGACTGCCCTGGACGCCTCAAAGACGCCCAGGTCTCGAAGACGACCCTCGAGAGGGCCAAAGAAGCAAGAATCGTCCAGTCCCTCTTCTTTCTCTCAGGAGAGATAACGCTCCACAACTCTACCCTGGAACTCCACTGCACAACAGACCATAATGCACATACTTGTCAGCACTCTCACTCACTTGCCATTGCACTACCGTAACGTCCGGTCTTGGGAGCTTCTTGTGACGTCTTGGAGAGTCGGAAATCCGACAATGCAAATGGCCAAAATCCTTTAAAACACACACACGCACACACACAAAAACAAAAAAAACAACAACCACAACAAAAAAAAAAAACTCGTCAAATCTACGATGTTGGCCTCGTGGGCTCTCTCGGGAAGCCTCTTGGAGCGCACTTGGGGCCGCTTTGGGCCCTCTTGGGCCGTTTTGGAACCATCTTCGGGCGCCTTGGAGTATTCGTGGCCTCGGCGATGCGAATAAGGCGTAATTTGCAAAGATTATGGCTTCGGGGACGCGAGCATTGCGTAATTTACCAGGGCGCGTTGCCTCGGGAACGCAACATGTGTATAATGTACGCTGGTTTGTGGCCTCGGAGACGCAAACATTGCGCAACCTACTAGGCATCATGGCCTCGGGGCGCAAATCTCACATACGTATATACATATATATATATATATATATATATGTATATACATATAAAAACAAAAAAACTTGTCCCACACCATCCCGGGAATTCAGGCAACGCGATCCGGGCGTGGTAGATCGGGTGGTTTGGGGCTGCCCCCCCCCGCGCGGACTTCAACAATTTACAATAGGAAGCAGAAAGAAGCAGGAATGCAACACTGGAGACGTGAAACTGCAACTGGTGCAGGGAGCTCAGCACACTTCGGCCTACAGCCTGGTGGCCCCACAAAGGGGGCCGGCGGATTCACACAGACATCCTATGACACGCCGCTGCCCAAAAAGTATGGTCAGAAAGCGCCGGCCACCGAGCATGCACTGTGAGGCTTGGGTTTGAGTGATGCCGATCCTGCGGGGGAGGGGGGGGGCGAGGACGAGATCCTCGCGCAGCCAGCCCGCACGCACCGGGCGACATGAGCTTGTTGTTGTTCCTCCCCAGTCTGGACTTAGGTCGGGCATGTCCCCCTACAGGCGGATTTTGGACGAACAAAAAAAAACCTTAAAAATACCCCCAAATGGTCAGACATACCTTGACAAAAAACCGTCTCCGCACTATTTTTGGACTAGTTTTGGATATTCCTCCTGTAGAGGGACAGACCCGACTTCAGGCTGGGCGGTGCGAGCACCACCTCGGGCACCAGCCACCCCGAGGGGAAACTCGGGCGCTTCGAGCGACCGGAGCTGCAGCCTCGCGCGCAGGGGCGCGGGCCGCAGGCAATTACCGTCGCATCGGGCGTCGGCACCAGGCGCGGGCGCGAGGCCGACGGCTCACCTTCGGCCGAGGAGGAGGAGGAGGAGGGGGAGGAGGAGGAGGAGGGGGAGGGGGAGGGGGAGGGGAGGAGGAGGAGGAGGAGGAGAAGGAGGAGGAGGAGGAGGGGGAGGAGGAGAGGAGGAGGAGGAGGAGGAGGAGGAGGAGGAGGAGGAGGAGGAGGAAGAGGCCGGTGCCTGGAGGATATAACGGGCCGAAGGGCGACGAGGCTCCGACACTGAAACGTCCTTGTGGCGATGCCCGAAACAGAGCCTGAGCGCCGCTCCTACTCCGAGCCAATCTACACGTCTCGGCCGACAGAACGCAGCTCTGACTCGCGCAGAAGACAAGGGGAGTCGGATGATCCCCATCGCCGACCATGGCGGCCGCGAGCGAGGAGACTGTCTCTAAAGGGACGAACACGGCATAAACATGATGTCTCAAAGGCTCGCGCGGAGTTACTGTGACCCGCCGACGGGGCTGGATTCCACAGGTCCCCGTTGTCACGATCGGATCTTGCCACAATCCTGGCCTCATCTGAACAACGCCGACGGCAGCGGCGACGACGCCGCCGCCGGACGCAAACGGCGACGGCGACGACGCTGGGCAAATTCGAAGAGGAGGGCGATGTGGACGGCGGCGGCGGCAGGTCACCACGGCTGGGCTGGATCCGCCGCAGGCGTTTTTCGGGCGTTTGCGAGTAGACACTTTGCGAGTAGTGGAACGCGTTCGGTGAGTCTAGGAGCGGAAAGGAGACAGGAGAAGGAGCATGATCAAGACGGAATTCGCGCCAGGGTCTGCGGAGGACCCCAGGGGCCCAAACATGGAAAAAAACAAAAAAACAACGATATCGTCGAATACCCGCCGAAGTCGACGACATGCCGGAGACGACGACGACGACGACGGCGACGACGAGGAAGACTACAAGCAAGACGACCAAGACGACAATGATGACGACAAAGACGACAAAAACGACGACGACGACGACGACGACGACGACGACGACAACGGGTGGATTGTTGGCAGCATGGCGGACCCCTGGACCCCCCATCGCGTCCTGGCGCTCCATGGAGCACTGCATCAGCTCTCCCTCGGGGCTGCACTCGAGGAGCGGGAGGGGGGGCAGAGGAGAAGCCATCCTCCTCCTCCTCCTCTCCTCCTCCTCCTCCTCCTCCTCCTCCTCCTCCTTCTTCTCCTCCTCCACCCCCTCCTCGTCCCCCTCTTCCTCCGCCTCCCCCTCCTCCTCCTCCTCCTCCACCTCCTCCTCCTCCTCCTCCTCCTCCTCATCATCATCATCATCACCACCACCACCACCACCACCACCATCATCATCATCACCACCACCACCACCACCACCACCACCATCATCATCATCATCATCATCATCATCCTTCTTTCTTCCTCCTCCTCCTCTTTCTCTTTCTCCTCCTCTTTCTCTTTCTCCTCCTCCTCCTTTTCCTCCACCTCCTCCTGGGTTGGGATTGGGATGGGGATGGTGGCCGGCTAAACGATACTAATAGGGGGGGCGACCTGCAGGACGGTCTGCAGCACGCCGTAGATGTGCTCGAGCCCCCGCAGCACCATGTCGGAGTTGTCGAATACGCCTCGAGCTGGGGAACCTCCCACTCCTCCTCTTCCTCCAGCTCCTCAGAATCATCATACTGTTTGTTCTGCTCCTCCTCCTCCTGCTCCTCCTCCTCCTCCTGCTCCGCCTCCTCCTCCTCCTCCTCCTCCTCCTCCTCCTCCTCCTCCTCCTCCTCCTCCTGCTCCTCTCCTCCTCCTTCTCCTCCGCCTCCTCCTCCTCCTCCTCCGCCTCCTCCTCCTCCTCCTCCGCCTCCTCTCCTCCTCCTCTCCTCCTCCGCCTCCTCCTCCTCCTCCTCCCTCCTCCTCCTCCTCCTCCCCTCCTCCTCCTCCTCCTTCCTCCTCCAAAAGTTCCCCCTGATGGGCCCCCCCTGGGTTGTTTGGACCGTCGGACTTCCTCCCCCCCCTTTCCCCTCAGTGGCGTGCGATCCTCCTTCTCCTCGTCCTCCTCCTCCTCCTCCTCCCTCCTCCTCCTCCTCCTCCTCCTCCTCTCTCCTCCTCCTCCGTCCCCTCTCCTCCCCCTCCGCCCCCGTCCGTTCTCCTCCCTTTCCTTGTCCTCTTCTCCCCTCCTCCCCCTCCCCCTCCACATGTTGCAATGCTCCATCTTCTTCTTCTCCTCATCCATTCCTGCTCCTCATGCGTAGATCCTCTCTTTCGCAAACCAAGACCAGCCGGAAGGGCGGTGCGGTCGTTTCGCCTGAGACTTCTTTAGCTTTGTTTACCTTGAAACTGTGAATGCGACATGTCTCACAGATGCTGACCGCGTCCAAAATGTCGCTTTCGCTCTAGCGCCGCACACTTTCACCTCAAACATAAGAAAACAAACGGATGGAGGGCGGGCCGTTTTCAAAATGCGGTTATAGCTTTAGCTCCGCGCACACTCTTCTTCAACTGTTGCTAGAGTCTCACGGGTTGTGGGTGGTTCAACAAAAATGTCGAGCCAACAAAAATGTCGAGCGCCGAGCACATTCATCTTGAAGCATTGCAAGGAGTGTTACACGATGTCATAGCTAACATAACAGAAACGCAACTGTTACGTTGACTCGCGGTACTGAGGTCGCAGAAGCGGCGTTCTGGTACGACTCAGGACGGCCAAGACGCAACAATCAGGTTCATTCGCGGCGCTGGATTCCCGAAATTTGTGTGTTGGCAAGCCTCAGGGTTTTCAAACGGTTGTCTCCCAACGGGGCTCTTCCCTCAGTGGAAATAAATCCTTGTAGGGGCCTATGAAAAAAAGGGAGCTTGGAGGGAGAACAACCAATATGACTGTTACTCCTCCACCTCTCCTCATTATCCTCCTCCTCCTCCTCCTCCTCATCTTCCTCTTCCTCGTCCTCCATTTTTCCATTTCTCCTGTATTGTTTGTTCCCAGCACAGATGGATCCTCCGCTTCGCACCCCCAAACGTGTCGGCAGAGCGGACTGGGCGGCGATGCATCGACGACACGCCCCCAATTGCGAATCCGCATGGTCCTGGGCGGGGTGGGCTTTAAGACCCCTATAGGCGACGAGTGGGCAATTGGGGGTAGACGCATCCGCCCTGAGCCTATCTCCCTCAATGATATTCATCGTCTGGTTGTCGGGTCACATCTCGGGTCTCTGGCGGCTGCTCGGGACCATCCAGGCACCCTTGACACGCTCTCGGCGAACCGCACCTGCTGGAAAGCATCCCGAGGCTGGAAAGCCCCCTGGCCCCAACATAAACCTTCGAATGCCCATCGCGCCCTGTCGTTGCCCGAACCTCCAAGTGTTCAAAAACGAGGTCACGCTGGGTCCGGCCTCCACAGCGGCCAGCTATGGGCCCCGAGTCGCCGTCGAAAACCGATCTACGGGGTGGAAGCGAGGAACGGATGTCGGGATGTCGGGAGTTGCTAGATAATGGGGGGCAACAATTGGGGCTGAAGAAAGGCGCACCTGTCGTACGCCTGAGGTGCCCCAAAGGGTCTTCTAGTGCAGCTTGAAGGGGCTCTCTGCTGCAACCCTCGAACTCCCTCCTTCTGTCGCCACCTTACTACGAAACGCCCGACGGATGGACATCGGGAGGGGTGTCCCGGGGATCGATTATGAGAGGAGCGTTGCATCCCAGACTTCCGAAGAACCGTTGCGTTCAGTCCTGAACCGTTGCGTTCAGTCCCCCGCGCTTGTCTTCGACTCTGGCCTCCGAAAGGGCCGTCTTCGGGCTGCGACCACAAGAAACCTTCCACAAGAAACCCAACCCTGAGACCCCAGGACGTCCATTGAATTTTGGTGTGGAAACGTCGCGCTGTCCATAGCGAAACCATCGAAACCCAAGACACCCAGGGCACCCTGGAGACAAGCAGGGTGTGTCTTGGCATGGCCCCCCAGCGCATTCAGAACGGAAATCTGCGGCCCCCAAAAAGGTCGGGACGTCTGGGGCCGCGGGAGCACACCGCCAGAGGCCTCGAGAAGGGGTGGCCGCCCAAAGCGACCCCCGAAGGGCCACAAGAGGCGCCACGGGATCGCGCAGGAAGCCACCCAGAAGCCCTCCGAAAGGCTCCAAGGGGCATCTGATCCACGACACGGGCACGGGCGCGGGATGGGCCTTTCTTTGACATCAACGCCAACGCCTCCAAATCCTTGGACTGACCAAGGTAGCGAGCCAGCAGCGGAAGGGGAATGCTGGCTCCCCGAATGGCGACCCATTCAGTCTGAGTCGCCTGAATGAAAATCGCAGGCTCGTGGTGGCGGGATGGGCCGAAATCCACGGCACGCTGGGAGGAGAGCAGAGCCCTCAGATCCGACGTACTGCTCTTCTGTTCTACGCGGGGCCCCCGAAGTCCCCGCACTCTCCCCACGGCCAACTTTCCATCGTAGGTCGTGTTGCCTGTCCCGGCGGGGGTGCCCGCGACGGCCCCCGGAGGACGATCAATTCGAGAAGCCTCGTGCTGATGTTCTCAACACGTTGGAGCTCTGAGCCTCGAGGAGGGGAACGGAGCGAGACTTGACGGGGGTGCGTTTGCCCTTGTGTTTGGGGTCTGGGGGCTTCCACAGGACCTCAGGGGTCCTGCGAAGGCCGCTGCATAACACAAATATGCCATCAAATGCACATTGTGGCTGGCGCTACTTCATCAACCCTCCTCCTCCTCCTCCTCCTCCTCCTCCTCCTCCTCCTCCTCCTCCTCCTCCTCCTCCTCCTCCTCCTACGTCTGCTCCTCCTGTGTCCCCTCCTCCTCCTCCTCCTCCTCCTCCTCCTCCTGTTCTCTCCCCTCCTCCTCCTCCTCCTTCACCTCAAGTTGCTCCTCCTCCAACTCCTTCACCTCGACACATTCCCCCTCCCCATCAAATCATCATAACTCAACCCAACTCAACCCAACCCAACCCAACTCAACTCAACTCAACTCAAATCATCATCATGTTACCCCTGGTGTGGCACTTGTCACTGGTCCGCCCACCGCTGCCGCCATCGGTGGGGGGGGGGCGCTGTCTACCGTGGGCATATCGGTTATCTCGATCCCCGTTTCTACAAGCAAGACTGGCGGCTGCCACATCTCCTCCTCCTCCTCCTCCTCATCCTGATCCTCATCATTACGATCATGAGCATGAGCATGACCATCATCATCATCATCCTCATCATCATCGTCATCCTCATCCTCATCCTCATCCTCATCCTCATCATCATCATCATCATCATCATCATCATCATCATCATCATCATCATCATCGTCATCATCAGCATCATCAGCATCAGCATCATCATCATCATCATAATCATCATAATCATCATCATCAGCATCAGCATCACCATCAGCATCAGCATCATCATCATAATCATCATCATCATCATCATCAGCGTCAGCGTCAGCGTCATCATCATCATCATCATCATCATCATCATCATCATCATCATCATCATCATCATCATCAGAATCATCATCAGCATCATCATCATAATCGTCATCATCATCAGCATCAGCGTCATCATCATTATCAACATTTCAGCAGCAGCATCATCATCAGCAGCAGCAGCCGCCTCACCGTCATCAACAACATCATCACCATCAATTTCAATATCTTCCGAATAATCCATATGTTCGCCTTTCCTCATGCAAATCAGATCAGTTCGTCCACTCTCCGTCCTCAATCTCCGGTCCGTCCTGCTGCACCCCTCCTTCCAACAGCTCTTCGCCCTCCTCCTCCTCCTCGCGGTCCTCCACATCCTTCCTCCTCCTCCTCCTCCTCATCCTCCTTGGTTCACCCTGACGCAGGCGTGCGACCGCCGTCGCGTCTAAACACCCCTGCTCCTGCTTCACCTTCTCTTCTTCCTCATCCTCAACATGTTTTTCCGCCACCTGTACATCCCCGTCCTCGGTGTCTTCCGCTTCTACCCCATCCGCCTTCCCCCCCCCGTCCTCCTACACCTCACCAACCCGGCCCTCTTCACGTCCTAAACCTCCCGCGTACACCCCTCCTCCTCCTCCTCCTCCTCCTCCTCCTCCTCCTTCTCATCCTCCTCCTCCTCCTCCTCCTTCTCCTCCTCCTCCAGGTTTACGATTAGCATCACCACGACCATAATCACCATCCTCCTCTCCGTGATCATCAGCACAATCACCGACATCAATGCCATCGTCATCGTGACCGTCATCCTGATCACCATCGCAATCGTAACGCCAAGTCCTCCTCAGCCTCGTCATGAGCATAAATATCAGCAGCAACAATCCTTCTTCTTCATCATCAGCAATATCGCCATCGCATCAAAATCATCATCACCATCATCATCATCATCATCCTCATCGTCGTCATCAGTATCGTAATCACCGTCATCATCCTCACCAGCATTATCATCATCAGCAGCAGCATTATCACCGTCGTCGCCATCATCATCATCATCATCATCATCATCATCATCATCATCATCATCATCATCATCATCATCATCATCATCATCATCATCATCATCATAATAATCATCATCATCATCATCATCATCATCATCATCATCATCATCATCATCATCATCATCATCATCATCATCATCATCATCATCATCATCATCATCATCGCCATCACCATCATAATCATAATCATAATCATCAGCATGATCAGCAGCAGCGTCATGACAATCGTGTTCGTCGTCGTCAGCATCGACATCGTCATCGCTATCGTCATCGTCAGCAGCATCGTCATCATCGTCATCATCATCAGAGTTATCATCACCTGCATCATCATCATCATCATCATCATCATCATCATCATCATCATCATCATCATCATCATCATCATCATCATCATCATCATCATCATCATCATCATCTCTGTCATCATCATCATCATCATCATCATCATCATCATCATCATCATCATCATCATCATCATCATCATCATCATCATCATCATCATCATCTCTGTCATCATCTTCACCTCACCAGCATCATCATACTCAGAATCATAATCATCGCCATCTTCATCATCAACCTCAGCGTCATGAGCATCACCATCATCAGGCGCCCCGCGGTGCGCGACGCCCGGGATTCCGAGACAACTCCAGCACTGAAGCGGCGCCTCGGCCGGATTGCACCGGTGCATCCGTGAAGACTTCGCATCGCTGCGCGTGCCGGCCGTGCGCTACTGCGCATGCCAGGTTCGCGAGGGAAGGGAGAGGAGGGAGAGGAGCGAAGAGGAGGGAGAGGAGGCGAGGAGGAGGAGGAGGAGGTGGAGGGAAGATCCAAGCTGGCTGCAAGCAGTTCGATAGCGTTGCAGGCCACCGAGGCCCCTCGGCTCCGTGATGGCAGCTGCGCAATGCCAAGGCGAAAACATCGCGACTCGAAAGGAGATCCGGACGAGCCTGTGCACAGTAACTACGCGGCGACTCTGGGGTTCGGTCGGGCATGTCCCCCTACAGGCGGATTCTGGACGAAAAATTTTAAAATTATCCAACATATTCAAAATGGTCAAAAAATGATCGAAAAATCGTCCCCTGATTCTCTTTTTACTATTTTTGAATATTCCTCCTGTCGAGGGACGTGCCCGACTTAACTCTGTGGGAGGGGCGTTCACGCGCTCACCCAGCAGGCGCCCCCAGAAAGCAAACAAGTACCTTATGCACGCCTTGCGAGCACAACCGGAGGGCCGCGCGGGCTCCATAAGGAAATTCGGCGCTCACACAAAAAAAAAAAAAAAAAAAAACGCGAGGCAAGAGGGAGGAGGGAGGAGGAGGAGAGACGGGCAGCCCTGTAGGTCATCGCCCGACTGCCTGTCAGTCTGGGCTCCCACTAACCACGGTTGTGCAAACGCAGAGGGAAACGTTACCATGTTATGACTCCAAGGAAGCAGAGGAAGAGAAGGGAGAGGAAAGGAAGAGAAAGCGAATGTGACTTGCGCCTCAGGCGCTCAATGGCCGTGACGCTGGCGCGTGCTGTGGCGCCCGCGCCAAAGGCTCACGCGCCCCCCGCAACGATCTCGCCGGCCGTCGAGAAGCCGAGCACGCACACGCGGACGCAACCTCCTGCGCCTCTGGCCTGCCTTCTCCTCCTCGCCGTCTTCCTCGCGGCCCTCCGCTTTGGATGCCGCCGCCGCCCGCCCGTCGCCGCCGTCGCCCAAGCATCTGTGGACCATCACAGGAATGAAGGGGCCCCAGGACACACAAATAAATACACACAAATAAAAATATTCCCCATATGTTCCCATATTTTCTGGGATTTTGTCTTCCCCCCCTCTTCCCATATTTTCCCATATTTTCCTGGGAATCGACGATTAATTGTGTCTGTGTGTTTTTTCCCCATCTGAAGGAACAAGGTCGCGCGCCTTGCCAAGCACGGGCACCTCAGCGATGGCCGCCCCCCGACGTCGGGCCACGGGACGCGCGGCCAGAAGCGCTGGAGACGGCTGGGGGCGTAACGGATGCCCCGGGCCCCGAGAGCCGGCAACACTGCCGAGTACCTCTGGAGCTTCTCCCTCGTGCCGGCCTCGATGCAGTCGAGGCATGCGCCTCGACATTATCGCCATCATTACCACCACCATCATCGTCATCATCAGCATCATCATCATCATCCTCATCCTCATCTCCTCCGCATCATCCTCCGCATAATCCTCCTCATCATCAGCATCATCACCATCATCGTCATCATGATGATCATCATCATCAGCAGAAGCAGCAACATCATCAATATCATCATCATCATCATCATCATCATCATCATCATCATCAGCAGCAGCAGCAGCAGCAGCAGCATCATCAGCATGAGCAGCATCAGCATCAGCAGCATCAGCGTCTCTCTCTCTCTCTCTCTGCCCCCACGTTACTGCTCACCCCACCTACATGTCCAACTCTTCATCCTCCTCCGCCAACCTTACCCTCCTCATCGCCTCCAGAGTTAAACTTCTCTCCTCCTCATCCGCCCTCAGTCCCTTCTTCACATCCTCCTGTACCTCCCCATACATCCTCCTCCTCGTCCGCCTTCTGTCCCTCGCGCTCGCTCACTGACCCCCCCTTCGCCATCGCCGCTTCGGCGCCTCCCAACCGCTTCTTCAGCGCCTTGAGCTCGTTGTCGGAGGAGGTCTTGTCGCGCTTGCGCCGCCTGGCCGCGACGGCAGGACCAGAGCCGTAACGCTGGTGAGGTCCCTCCACGAGAGACGGGGGAAGGGGGGAAGGCAGAAGGCTGCAGGGGGCAATGGGGAGGAGGAGGAGCAGGAACGAGGAGGTGAAGGATTGAGGATAATGGAGCAGGAGGGAGGAGGGAGGGAAGGACCAGCAGGAGGAAGAGGGCGGGCGAAGAGAGGGAGGCGGGGGGAGAAGCAGTAGCAGGGGGAGAGCGGGAGGAGAAGCAGGAGGACACGAACGCGCACACACCGCGGCAAGCACCGCCGCAGCATTATTATTATTCTTCTTGGTATAAGTACGATTGTGATTTATAGTAGTATAATTATGACCACGAGTATTAATATTATTCGTCATCGTCGCCGTCCTCGTCCTCGTCGTCGTCCTCGTCGTCATCGTTGTCGCCGTTGTCGTCGTCGTTGTGCCCGTCGTCATCGTCGTGGTCATTGTCGCTGACGCGCTCACCGCCGTCGTCGTCGCTGTTGTCGTCGTCACAATCGCCGCTCCCGGAGCAGCCGCCGCACCCGCTACCGCCGCCACCATCGCCGTCGCCGTCGTCGCCGTTGTCATCGTCGTCCGCGTCGTCCGCGGCGTCATCACAGGACGTCGCCGTCTCCGCTCGCATCGTCATCGACGTGGTCGTCGTCGTGGTCGTCGTCGTCGTCGCCATCGTCACCACCGTCGTCGTCGTCGTCGTCGTCGTGGTCGTCGTCGCAACCGTCGCCGCCGACGCAACCACCGTCGCCGCCAACGCCGTCGCCGCCTTCGTTGTTGTCGCCGTCTGCGTCCGCGTCGTCGTTTTCGTCGTCGTCGTCGTCCGCACCGTCGCCGACGTCGTCACAGGACGTCATTATCGTGATCGTCCTCGCTCACGTCTTCACAGGACTTGGTCGTCGTCGCCATCGTCGCCGTCGTCGTCGTCAACATCGACGGTGTAGTCGCCGTCGTCGCCGGAACCGTCTCCGCTACCGCAGCCGCCACCATCGCCACCGCCGCAGTCGTCATCATCATCGTCGTCGTCATCGCCCGCGTCTTCACAGGACGTCGTCTGCGTCGTCGCCGACGTCGTCGCAGGGCGGCGCCGTAGTCGTCGACGTCTTCTTGATATTATGCGTCTTCGTCGTTGTCGTCACCGTCGTCGTGGTCGTCGCGTTCGTCGTCGTCATCATCGTCGTCGGTATCTTCTTCTCCGTGTTCGTCATCGTCGTCGCCGCCACCGTCGCCGTCGTCCTCATCGTCTTCTTCGACGTCGTTGTCGTCGTCGCCGTCGTCGTCATAATCACCGTCGTCGACATCGTCGTCGTAGCCTTCTTCGTCATCATCGTCGTCGTCGCCACTGACGTCGTCGTCGCCGTCGTCGTCATCATCGCGGTCGTTGTCGCCTTCGATTTCTTTGTAGTCGTCGTTGCCGTCGCCATCGCGCTCGCCGCCATCATCGTCGTCGTCACAGTCGTCGTTGCCTTCTTTGTCGTCGTCGTCATTTTTGTCGCCGTCATCGGTGCCATCGTCGTCGTCGTCGTCGTCGTCACCGTCGACGTCGTCGTCGCCGTCGCCGTTGTGACCGTCATCGTCGTCGCCGTCGTCGTAGTCGTCGTCGTAGTCGTCGTCGCTTTCTTTTTCTTCTTCTTATTTTTCTTCGCCGACGTCGTCGCCGTCCTCGTCGTCGTTGTCGTCCGCGTTGTCGCCGTCGTCGTCGTCACCATCGTCATCGTCTTCTCCTCCTCCTCCTCCTCCACCGTCGTCGTCGCCGACGTCGTCGCCGCCGACGTCGTCGTCATCGTCGTCGCCTGCGCCACCTCCGGCCGCATCGGCGCCGCGGCCGCCGCCCGCGTGCGTCGCCGCCGCGGTCCGCGGCCGCTGTCAAGCCGCCCGCCGGCACGGGCGCGCAAGCCGCGCCCCGCAGGGCTGGCAGGCGTGAAGGAAACGGGCCCCGGGAGGAGCGGGCCCGGGGCCGATTTGGCAGTGTACCCGTCGGTCGGAAGAAGTGTTAGGTCGGGCCTTTTGAACGAAAAATGAGAAAAACGGGGGGGGGGGGGGGGAACAAAGAGAGAGAGAGAGGGATATATATATATATATATATATACATATACATGTATACATATATACATATACATATATATATATACTCCAGAAATATCAAAAGATACAGAAAAAGGTCCCCAGACTACTTTTTGACTACTTTTGAATATCCCTTCCCCCTGTAGAGGGACAGGCCCGACTTGAAAGAAGTGCGCAGAAGCTCGAGGTAGGAAGGCGCGGAAAGTGGGCCAGTTCTCCGCCCGCCCCCCCGTGAAGAGGAAGGAGGAGGGAACACCACTCGATCGCTGACGTTGGAAGGCGCCCAAAGTAGACTGGGATCTGGGAATCCAAAGACACCCGCTCTCAGCGACCGGCGAGCAGAAGGACCCCAACCCTCTGGGAGGGGGCCTACGTTAGGAGGGCCAGAGACATCGGGGGCGGGGGGTTCTTGCTGCGGATGTGTCAAGCCAAACGGCTTAGATACAAGACGGAGATCTCAGTGAGGCCACGTCTTCGCTATATTACTCGGGTTGGAGGTTCTTCGTTCCTCGATGATGGACCTCAAAACCATCCATCCCCCAGGGCCAGTTCTTTGAGTACCGTTTCTGGCAGGACCCGTCTCCTTATTGATGGCATATGTTCGCCAAAACCGGCAGCAGCCACTGTTTGGCAGGCGACTTCGGTCTAAAACCTGCCACGTCAGCGGCGCTGCCGACAGCGAGTCCTGATCAAAGCAGACAGGAACTGCTGTCCGTTTTCGTCACTGTTTTTTTCCGTACCCACTTCTATAGGGCGACGAAATCTATACGTATCCACTGCTCCCTGGCCAGGCCCATCCTCAACACCGCAGCGGTGTATACGCCACGCCCTTCTGGCTTGGCCAGGAGGGCGCATACACAGCTCCTGGGCTCAAGATGGGCATGGTCAGGGAGCAGTGGATATGTATAGATTTCGTCGCCCGATTCTAGGCGGCGAGCCCAGGGGGGCAAGTGAGAGAGGGCGGGCCTTCTCCGAAGGCAAGGCTCGGACGTGCCCTGGCCTTCTGAGAAGTTCCCCACGGAAACACGAAGAACCTCTCACGAGGCGGGAGGCCTTCTGAGAAGCCCTACCGCCTTGTGAGGTTTTTTCCTTCTCACTTCCCCCCCTCACTCGCCGACGAATTTGGATCGTACCAACAAGCGGGGGTAGAGGCCTCCTAAATGAGGTCTACGCTGATGCGGTCGGAGGATCGCGCCGCATCGAAGATACATCGGCGGGCGATGCATCGGCGACGTCGACGTGAAGCAAATCGGGCTCCACATCAAGCCGCATCGCCGATGCATCGGCGATGCGGCGCGATCCTCGACCCCATATACTCCGACCCCGTCTAGGAGGCCTACAGGGGGGCAGTCGCGAGCCGCCGGCGCCCCCAGGGCCTATTGAGTTCCTCCAGCTCCTCGCGCGCCTCCGCAGCCAGCGAACCGGCCTGGCGCGGGGGAGGGCGGAGGCGGCGACCCGCAGCGCTCGCCGTCGCCGTCGACATCGTCGGTGTCGTCGTCGTCGTCGTCGTCGTCGTCGTCGCTGTCGGCGGCGGCGGCGCCTCGGCGGCGGCGTCGGCGTCGGCGTCGACGTCGTCCTCTTGCCCCTCCCCCTTTTCCTCCAATTCCACCTCCTCCTTGTCCCCCTCGACACCTGACTTGCGGATCTCCTTATCGGGCAAGGATCCGCTTCGCCCGAGAGCAGCGCAGAGCCTGGGAAAAGAACGAAGGATTGGAGAGATGGCTCCTCCGCCTTGCCCTCTGTCCCCCCTTCACTCTCGCCCTCCATGCCCTCATGTTCAAACCCTACTCCTCCACTCAATCCTCCTCATATTCACCCCCCTCCCCCTCACGCTCCCCTTCTTCTGCACATTATCCCTCCTCGTCCACCTATTCATGATCGACCTCCGTCAACTCCTTCCCTCCTCCTCCACTTCCTGTTCCCATCAACCCACCAAATGATCATAATCATCAGCAGCAGCACCGGCATCACAACCATCATCAGTATCATCACCATCATCAACATCAACATGGTCATCCTCAGCATCACCATCAGCACCAACATCATCTACAGCACCCGCATCACCAGCCTCATCATCAGCATCATCATCATCATCAACAGCAGCAGCACCATCGTTACCATCACCATCACCATCACCATCATCATCATGAGCACCATCATAATCATGACCGTCATCACATTATCATCATCACCGCCATCTCACCCTCACCATCAATATCCCCACTTATCGTCCTCATCCATTGTCCTCACCAATACCGCCATCGTTGCCGCAATCATAGGCGCATGGAATTGGCAACATCCTCACCTCAGTCGCAGCCACCATTAACTACCGTCGCCGACAATCTTCAGTCTGTACCAGTCACCACCAACACCACCATCCATTATCATTAATCATCACGGTCATCGTTTTCCTTGTCGTCATCATCGTTATCAATGCCTACATCATCCCTGTCGTGGGCATCGTTACAGACGCCTCCATCATCATCAGCATCGTGCCCGACATCAGTATTACCCCAATCATCCGTATCAACATGAGCACATCAAAACAATCGTCAGAATCGCAATCGCCGTCGTCATCATCACAATCAATATCAACATTGCCAGCGCCCCATGCATCTTCATCGTCTCAGCACGAACATAATCACTCCGACCACGACAAGCATCAATGTCAGCACCACCATCACCAACATCATCCTTACCATTGTTGTCATATTCCTGGCAATCAGAATCATGACCACGGTCATGACGATCATCTCTGGCATCGTTTTCTTCACCATCACCATCACCATCACCAGCACCATCGCAATCATCATCATCATGATCATCATCATCACCACCACCATCATCATCATCACCATCATCATCATCATCATCATCATCATCATCATCATCATCATCATCATCATCATCATCATCATCATCATCATCATAATAAAAAAAATCATTCTCGACAGCTTCATCGTCGTCTCCGTCATCATAATCGTTTTCTTCGCTTCACTTCGCTCCGCGGGAACGCCAGTCAATGCCTGAAGCGCCCCAAACAACACCGCGGGCCGCCACCGCGCGGGCCCGCTCACAATCCAGTCAGTCTTGGTCGTCCGCCTACACCTTCGACCCTCCATCTCGCTCACGGCGACCCTGGAAAAACAAATTGTGCCTCTGGACGTGTCCTGGGGGATGCTGTGGCTCGAGCCTCCGAAGGGATATAAGGAACGTCCGCTGGGCACCTGCTGGCAGGCCGGGGTCTTCCTTGACGTGCCCACTATATTTGTTTAGTGGCCGGCGGCCGAACTGCACGGGCACCCCTCGGGTCGAGGCCAGTAGGAGTGATGGTGATGATGATGAAGATGATACGGTGATGATGGTGATGATGACGAGATGCTGATGAGGATGATGGTGATGATGATGAGGATGCTGCTGATGATCATGATTGTGATGCAGATGATGATGCCCACACTGATACTGATGCCGATGGCGTGCTGCTGATGCTGGTGATGGTGATGGTGATGGTGGAGATGGTGCTGATGAGAAGCATCAACACCCTCAGCAACAGGCAGCACCACTAGTAGAATCGCTAGCAACGTTAGCATTAGCGTCAGCATCGTAGTCCTCATCATCATCGTCATTCTAGTCTCCACCATTACCACCACCACCACCATCATCGTCATCACCATCATCATCATCAGCATCAACATCATCACCATCACCGTCACCAACATCATCATCAGCATCAGCATCATCATCAGCATCATCATCATCATCATCATCAGCATCAGCATCATCATCAGCATCATCGTCATTGTCGTCGTTATTGTCACTGGCATAAAACGATGAACACGAGCATTATCAATATCCCCATCACAATTACCACCATTTCCATCATTCTCGTAATTATCATCGTCGTCACCGCCATCCTACTGCTCAACCTAATTGTCAGCCGCTGCAATATCAGCATCATCACGGTGGTCGCCGTCATCGTCACCATCACCACCATGACCAGTCATAAGACATCATGCATCGCTGCTTCCTCATCACCAGCATCAATTTCAACCTCATTACCAGCAGCAGCCCCACCTCATCCTCCTCCTCAGTCGTCTCATCCCCATCGACATCATCAACATCGCCACAGTCAGAACAACCACTGTCGTCGTCACACGGGGCTGAGGAAAGCCTCCTCCATTACCTTATACCTCTCTCTGTCTCTAGTTATCCTTCTCTCTCTCTCTCTCTCACCCCGTCTTTGTCTCTCCCTTTCTCTCCCACATTCTTCCCAGACATTGACCGATCGACGGCACAAAAAAAAACCTCCCCCGTGGTCACAATCGCCAACCCACTACAACCTACCACCTCCCACCACCACCACCCTGGCCATCACAGTCATCACCACCGCATACCATCACCACCACCACGACCACCGCCACTGCCTGCACCACCATCACCACCACCGCCGCCGTCCAGGCCCGCGTCGCCATCGCCATCATACGCTCTGGCGGGCGCGCGGCTGTCCGTCGTCGTCGTCGTCGTCGTCGTCGTCGTCGTCGTCGTCGTCGTCGTCGTCGTCGTCGTCGGTCGTTGGTCGTCGGTCGTCGTCGTCGCCGTCGCGGTCGTCGTCGTCGCCGTCGTGCCCCAACTGGGCGGCTGGCCCATGCGGGCGCTGCCCGTATCGAGGGCAGGGCGCGGCGCACCGCCGCTTCGGGGAGGGGGGGGGGCGCACAGCGGGTCCCCCGCCGCCTTCGCGGAGGCCTCCGCCACGCGGGTGTCCAGACCGCCGATGCGCTTGCCCGTCTGCGCCACGAACTCCTTCGGGAAGAAGGGGAGAAAGAGGGGGACGAGGAGAGGATGACGCTGGTGATGATGGTGTGGGGAGGAGGCGAAGCGGGAGGAGGATCATGCAAAACATGAAGCGCTGAGGAAGGAGGGGGGGCAGGAAGAACAGATGATCCGAATAGTAATGGTAATAATGATGATGTTGATGTTGATGTTGATGTTGATGTTGATGTTGATGATGATGATGATGATGATGATGATGATGATGATGATGATGATGATGATGATGATGATGATGATGATGGTGGGGACGATGATCTTGGTTCACTCGCATCTTGGATGCCAACATGGGCCAATACAATGTGCAACACCACAGGGGTGGCACATGTCACCCCGTACATCGTATGATACAAACTAATTGCCTCACTCGTCTTCTGGATGCCAACCATGGGGCCATACAATGTGAAGCAACACACGGGTGGCACGTGTCACCCCGAAAGATCGTGTAAGGAAAAACAAGTGTTTCACTAGTATTCTGGATGCCAACATTGGGCCATACAATGTGAAACAAGACAAGGGTGACACGTGTCACCCCGAGAACCGTGTGAGAAAAATCAATTGTGTCACTCGTGTTCTGGACGCCAACATGGGACCATACAGTGTGAAACAAAACAGGGGTGACACATGCCACCCCGAAAACCGTGTGTGGAAAAAAAATGGTTTCACTCGTATCCTGGATGATATGATGGGACCATACAGAGGCTCTTAAGGGCTCTCAGAAGGCTCTCAGCAAATTGTCAGACGCTTCCCGAGGCTCACGGACAAGCTCTCAGAGGCTCCCAGAGGCTCAGAGGTTCTCCGAAAGCTCTCAGAGGCTCTGCTCCCAGTGGCTCTCAGAGGCAATCGGAAAGCTCTCAGAAGCAGAAAGCTCTCAGAAGCTTTCAGAAGCTCTCATAGACCCTCAAACAAACAAATGCTCCCAGATGCTTTCAGAAAGCTCTCACAAGCTCTCATGAAGCTCTCCGAAAGCTCCCAGAGGCTCTCAGGAGCGCTCAGAAAGCTCCCCAGGAGGCTCTCAGGAGCTCCCCAGAGGCTCGCAGAGGCTCTCAGGCGCTCTCAGAGGCTCTCAGAGGCTTCAAGACAGCTCCCTCAAACTACCAGGGGCTCTCAGAAGCTCTAAGAGGTTCTCAGAAGCTCTCAGGAAGCTTACAAAAGCTCCCAGGGGGCTCTCAGAAGCTATGAGGCGCTCTCAGAAGCTTTCAGCAAACGACGACGACCACCCACCGACGAAACTGCGGATGCCGCATGGGGGCGGGGCGGGGGAGCGGTGGGCGGGTGGGAGGGCGCGAAAAATATGACGCTCAGAACAAATCGCAGTCTGCATTTTTGTTGACTCGCGGAGTGTGGGTCGGTGTCGAAAACAATGCCGCCGACCAGTGCCAGAACGTATTCCGCAAATTTCTGGTTCCGCGGAGGGGAAGTGGGTGTTGAACCAAAAAATATTTCCCTGCGAGGCGCGCCGGCTGTAGGGTGGGTGGGCACCAAAAAAATGATCTTGCTCGAGAATTCGCCTGTGGGGGTTGAAGAACGTAAAGGGGATCGGCCCCTTTGAAATATAAAGTGTCGACTGTCCGCGCGATATCTTGGATTTGGCGCGCGCAGCGCGGGGCAGCGCTGGAGGCGCCGCCAGGGGGGTCCAACGCGGATCCAAGAAATCCGCGCGGACCATCGACAGTTCATGGTATTCCTCATGTCCTTGCTATTGTTGCATCATCGTTGTTCCTTGCATTTGTCCTGTGGACGAGAGAGAGAGAGAGAGAGACGGAGAGAGACAGAGAGAGACAGAGAGAGACAGAGAGGGAGAGCACGACGCGTCGGCTGCGCGCCCAGGGGGAAAGGCAGCGAGAGGGCGGCGGCCTCCGCCGAGGGCTCAGAAGGCCTTCGGCCTTCCGAGAAGCTTCCTGGCCCTCCTCCGAGGCCGCGGATGGCTCTCCTCTTAGAAAGCGGGGGGGCGTCCGCTGGCGGCGCGCACCAGGGGGTGGCGGGAGGGGGGAGGGCCTCTTAGGAGGAGGCTGCTCCTGAGAAGGCGCCGGCCTTGCATCTACAGAGAAGGCCCGCGCCTTCTAAGAAGCAGGGGTGCTTCTAAGCAGCCCTCCCACCTCCCCCCACCCCCCTCTGCGCGTGGCTGAGTCCGAGAAGCCTTGTGTCGGGCGTGTCCCCCTACAGGGGGATTTTCGACGACAAGTAAAAAATACCCCAAAAATGCTCCAAAAAGGCAAAAAAAAAATCCTCCGAAAATAGTCCCCAGACTATTTTGGACTATTTTTCATTTTTCGTCGAAGATCCCCCTGTAGGGGGACAGGCCCGACCTAAGAGAAGCCCCGCCGCCGCCCGGTGCGGTGCCGGCCGCGAGAACGTCTCGAGGGGCCGCTGGGCCAGGAGGCGCAGCCCCGACCTCGACGAGGCGCGGAGCGGGCGGACGCAAGGCTCGGCTCGGGGCGCTCGGGTCGGATGATGGGGCCGGCAGGGATGCGACGAGGCCCGGAGGAGGAGGAGGAGGAGGAGGAGGAGGAGGAGGAGGAGGAGGAGGAGGAGGAGGAGGAGGAGGAGGAGGGGGAGGAGCCCACAACAGCTGGACGAGCAGCATCCAGGACGGGCTCGCCGCGCGGCGTCGGCAAGCCCGGGTCCCGGCGGGAGCTCGGGCCGCAGGCTTCCCCACACGGGCGAGCCTGCGCACGGGGAGGAGCGCCGTCGTGGGCGCCCGCCCCGCCGTGGCAACGGGGGGGGGAGGGCGCGCTGGCTGCGCCAAGGGCGAGAGCCAGCGGAAAAAGGGGCACGCGCGGCCAGGTCCGGACGCCGGACGGCCGCGAGCCGAGAGAGAAATACCGCGAGCGCGCGTGCGCGAGCGGGGAAGGCGTGCGTCGGAGGAGGGCGAGCCGCGACAATCGGCGGCTCGAGGTCGGCGCCCCCGACCCCTGCGGGGGGCCCCCCTCCGCGGCCCAGTCCTTCCGAGCTGCGACCGGCCGTGGCGACGAGGGGGCCAACTGGCGTTGCCGCCACCCGCCCTCCTGAGTCTGGTTGGTGCGCCATCCCGCCAGCACCAGCGCACACACACACACACACACACACACACACACACACACATTCAACGCACCAGCCCCCTGCCCTCGGCAGCGCTGCCCGCGGCCGCTCCCAGAGCTCCGCTGGACAGCTTCTCGGCAGCCTTGAACCCCTGGCCGACATAAGCACCACCGTCGAACACATAGGAGTGCATGATGGTACCCCCGGCCACCTCCGGGGAGACGTAAGACTCGGGTACGGGGGACTCGGGTTGGCCTGACGGGGCCGTCATGAAAAATGACGAGGCCCAATCTGAAACGTGACGCGAGGTCCCAGCGCAAACATCCCACGAAAGCTGGACGGTCAAAATCCAAGACGCGCTCGTCAAAAAACGTCGGCAAACCCGAGTTCCGGCTTACTCGAGTCTTACGTTTCCCCGACACCTGATCGTCAGGGTACATGCAGTGCAGGTAATCCTCGGGGATCTTCTGACCCGGGTCAATCCAGACCTGGGTCAGTCAGGCATTGCAAAATCCTGCAAGATCCTGCACCCAAACCTGGGTCAATGCGAAAAATCCTGCATGATCCGGCATCCTGCACCGAAACCCGGGTCAATGCGACCCTGGCCCTGCAAGATCCTGCAAGATCTGGCGCTCTGGCTGACACCCGTTTGCACTGACCCCCGTCTCTTGAGCCCCGAAGTCCCAGACTGCCGACGCCCCCGGCTCGTACAAGAACGGGCCGCCGAACTCGTGGAACGCGTACGGCACGCCGCGGGACTCGGCCGCTCCCCGAGCAGCCAGCGTGCAGCGCATGCTCTGGCAAGGCCTTGGGCTGGCCTTCACAGGACAAAAGGTAGTCTCGGCTGGCTTCAACAAGCACCCGGAGCCTTCCTTGACGGTACGGGTTCCATGTGTTTTCTCAATGTTCCCCGACACCCCCCCCCATACTGGAAGCGGAGGGCAAATTGAGGCCTTCGAGTTGGGTTGGGGTGGTTTGGTGGGTGGTGATTCCTGCAGAGGACGAGGGGGCGCGACCACATAGCTGTTCACCTGACTCGGCCTGGCAAACTGGGGACACCACACGAGCCGACCTGCGATAGGCGATAGGCAAGCTCATGCCCTGAACCATGGCCTGAAGGATGAGTGAGCGTGCCGTGCTCCGCAATGCAGTAAACGAATTGGGAACAGGCGCCCCGAAGAGGCGGGGGCGGTCTCAACAGCTCAAGGCGCCGCCAGAGGCGTCGGACCGCCCTGGGCTACCTGCGGATGGCTCGTTGCCAGCCGGGACTGCCTGGGGGGGGGGCTGCCTGTGCGCCGCCCGAGGCCTTCCCAGCATGTGTAGAAGAAGATTAAACGCCATAAACATAAACTTTCGGCGCTCCGCGCGGATTTCTTGGATCTGCGCTGGACCCCCTCCCTGGCGCGCGGAGCGCGCCAGGGGCGGCGCCGGGGGCGCCGCTCGGGAGTCCCAGCGCGGATCCAAGAAATCCGCGCGGAGCGCCAACAAAAGATTATGTTTATGGCGTTGCTTCTTCTTCGAATGTTCGGCATGCCCACGATCAGCAACCCGCTGCTTTCCTCGACCAGAGAGCTCGAACTCCAGCCTTCGGAGCTCTGGCTTTCGGGCCCCGGCTAGGGCCTCCGGCGGCCCTTCGGGACGGTCTGGGCACATCCGAAACGCTCTGGGCGAGGCGCAGTTGCTGGAGGGCACCCCGCAGCGGATAAACTGCCGGGCACCGAGGAAAGCACCCGAAAACCTCCAGCCTCGAACCCTGGCGATGCCCCACGATCCGGGTGCGCTCTGAGCAGAACTTCGAGGCGAATCCAGCCGTGGTGCAAAGTGCACCCAGGAAGCCCGAGTATGCCAGAACGGCAGAATTATACTAGTATCTTTACCTCGTTCTCCTCTGACGATCAGCACGCGAGGCGGGTATATACCGATGTCCAGCGCTTGCGACGTCCAAGGACCCA